ACACATACCTTCACTCTTCTTCACCACCTCACCGAAGCAAACCCAAAATCCCTCTGGGACATTTCGTCGAACACCATGTCTGCAACAATGATGGGTTTTCTTCCTTCTCTATTTTTGGAATCAAGCCCCAGACTATTGCGTTATGTCTGATGCTCAAAAAGAACATGCTTCAACTGTTGAAGATCTGGTCCCAAATTTTGCAGCTTTGAGGCATCAAACCTGCAGTTCTTTGAGTGAAGAAAAATTTTGGATGATATATTTTATTTTGTTGCTCCCAAGACTGCATGAGCATGATGCCAAGCTTCTATCAACACCTGAGATTGTTGAAGCGAGACAGATACTTTTGCAGAAGCTGTACGAAAACAGGAACGTCATCGGCTCTCTCCGTGCTGCCTGGTGTTGTCAAGGGCTTCCAGCCATGAAAGAGGAGTCTCGCAAGAACGATGACCATGTCGTTTTGGTCAAGGACTACAGATCCAAGGTCGAGTCCGAGCTCTCTCTCGTCTGCGCTGGTATTCTCAACTTACTCGACTCTAATCTCGTTCCTTCCGCCACCGCCACCGAGTCCAAGGTGTTTTATCTGAAGATGAAAGGCGATTACCATAGGTATCTTGCTGAGTTCAAGGTTGGTGATGAGCGTAAGGAGGCTGCTGAGGACACTATGAACGCTTACAAGGCTGCTCAGGTACTTAGATTTGACTTGAAATTTGTGAAATTAGGGCATGATATGATTTACTGTTGTGAAATTAGGTTTTACACACCTTGTAGTATTGGAAATTTTGAATTTAGATCAAGAATGTAGTTATGTGCTTAGGATTTCGAGCGAGTGATAGTTGTTAATTGTGGATTTAGCGCAATGAACATGATGACATATTGTTATGGATTGGCTCACCATGTAGGCTTTTTGAGAGTATAGCAGATTTGTGCATTTAGGAGTTCTGACTTTTTTGTGCTGTTGTTGAAGGATGTTGCTTTGACTGATCTGGCTCCAACACATCCCATAAGACTGGGGCTAGCCCTCAATTTCTCAGTGTTCTATTACGAGATTCTCAATTCATCTGATAAAGCTTGTAACATGGCAAAACAGGTATACTTCACTCCAAGTTACTTCTGGTTTGAAATGGTATTCTTATCTTATCTTTCTCTTATGCTAATTGAAACATGCCCTAGAACTAACCATCATAAGCGCTTAAGTAAAAGGGAGAAAGAAATGGTGGTTGGAAGACATGCATCACACGCACGCACGTTTATTATAAAATTGCTCTCTCTCGGAGGGTCTGAATGAATAACACAAATTAATTAACTAACAAGCTAATTAAATATTATAGACCCTTAATTAATTAAACAAATTAATTAAATTACTGAAAGCAGTAAAACAGCCTCGAGAAGAGAGACGGATGCATGCGCGCTCAGCTCCGCTCAGAAACCCACCACCATGTCACATGTTGCCTCTGTTTACACTGCTCTGCACCTCTGAGGACTGTACAAGTCTCCAGGATGTTTCTGAACCACTCCCTGATCACTGTGGGAGGTCGCCGACCAAGAGGAAACACCACCGGACATGGAATTATGGTCATCGACCAAAAGTTGGTCCATCGGCTGAACTTTTGTGGTCGGCCGGCACTGAAAATTGTCGACCGGCCATTTATTCCTGCAGAAGAGGATAGACAAGACATGGAAATGCATTGTCAAAGCAATTTATGCACAAACACCCTCCTTATCATGTTATGAACTCAAAGGAGTGTGGTCCTCGACCCTCAAGCCAACGATCACGTATTTCAATACATGATGGCCCATGATGCCAAGTTGTGCAATTTCAATATCAAATGCAATGCACACAAATACACAATAAAAGACCCTAACCTCTATCATAATTGGTCAAGAGGCAAGGGATGCAAACATGCTCAATGCTATGCAAACTAAACATGCTAGCTAAGCATGCAATATGAGCACGTGAACAAGCATGCAAACATGCAAGTATGTAACAAGTATGTAAGCTAACAAGCATGCAAGATACAATTTAAACATGCAAACATGCAAGACATGTAACAACATGTTAAGCAACTTAATCAAAGATGCATGCCAAATGCAATACCACCGAAACATGCAACAACATGTTAATAGTCCTATCATCTAGATGTACAAACATACATAGCATTCAACAACATGCAAAGGGGCCACGTATGCGACAACATGCAAGGCAAGCATGTAACAACATGCAAAGGATGGTCTTAAACCAATACGGGCAGCTCTCAAATAGGCCCACATTAGCGGCCAATGTGATGCAACAAAGGCATGGAATAGATATGCAAACATGCATGCACAAAGGCCTATCATCTAAGGCATAAAAGGGGAACCCTTAAGCACACTTAAAAGAGGACAAACATGGACATTAGATCAACATGATAAGTTCTAAAAAAAACATGTAAGGGATGATGCCAAATCAACCAAATAAGGCAAGCAATGCATGCAAGAAGGTCTAAGGCCTAAAGCTTGCCAAAGGGGCTCAAACCACGGCCATACAAGGCAAGTTCCAAAGGGTGAAAGGGACTCAAAATAGTCCCAATGCAGGTCGAGACAAGGCCAAAAACACACTTAGATGGCATCCAAATGGCCTAAGCATATAGGCATGCCCTATGACACATCCATAAGGCATGCAACCCTAACTCTTTAAAGCATTAAAGGGGTTATAAGTGCAAGCATACAAGCATAACATATGGACTGAAATAGCATTATAAGTGGTGCCAAACCACTGAAATGATCCAAATGGAGCATGCTAGAGGATTCAACACTCGAAGCTAACAAGCAAGATTACATGGTAGCTATACAAAGCAAGTCATGGATGACCCAAACAACCAAAATCAGGCCTTAAACATGGCAAGGGAAGGCCAAAAGCTTCATGGAGTTAGGTCAAAACAAGGAAGCATAGTGGTCTAAATGCTAGGTGCATGTTATGGCAAAATCAAGGGATTACAAGACAAGTATACATAGCATGTATGGAACGTCTAAATCAACTTTGGGCAGAGGTAAATCATGGAAAAATAACACCAAATATCAACTAAGACATGGCCAACATCAACTTAAACAAGGTGCTCACACATGAGGCAAATATGACAAGTATTGAAGACAATAAGGAGAGGGGATGGTCCTCTCCTTTTTAGGACCTCAAAACACCATCCCCGTGAACTTAAACAAGGTGCTCACACATGAGGCAAATATGACAAGTATTGAAGACAATAAGGAGAGGGGATGGTCCTCTCCTTTTTAGGACCTCAAAACACCATCCCCACCACTGAAATCCTTCTAGATTTCAGTGGTCAGAAGGCCAATACAAGGTGGTCCCGGAGCTCACAAAAAAGGCACAAAAATGAGGCCAAACAAGGCCTAAGAGGGGGTAAACAACCCCAAACACCAAAGTGATCTTAAACAACTATTTTAAGCACTTAAAAGTAGAACTTTTCTCAGTTATACACTAAGCTTGAAAACAAATGCAAGATAAGTTAAAATCTTGTACAAAAATTGGGAATATAAAGCGATAGTGCTCACCCTTGAAGAACACTTCGAGAACACCAACTCCAGCCCCTCCTTCTGATCAAAACCAACCTGAAAACTCTGAAAACAAGCCCTCAACACCTTTGCAACCGAAGTATGGTGTAACACTAGGTGTCTTAGTGCAAAACTAAGAACAAAACACACTTTAGGTCACAAAATGGGATCAAATAAGGGAATATAGATACAAGGTTGTATCTCACTCTCTAACCCTAATTTTTCGAGCCTCTGGAACCCTTGAGGAGGAAGGAGAAGCTCCCTCTTTATAGAATTCCAATCTCGCAAAGCTTCCAAAACAAGCTAAGCAAGAGACAAATCCCTCCATACACGTGTATGGAGAGGGTGAATTGTGGATGCCAGCTATGACAGCTGGCATAAAATATCTGCCAAAAGCAGATGAAAGGGGGTCGACCAGCCAAAATGGCCAATTGACCAACAAAGGTGGCCGACAGACCACAAAAGGTGTCGACCGGCCACAACCGTTGGCCGATGGCTAGAATATGGGGCCGGTGGCTTCAAGCCTTTGCCGGTGGGCTGTAGGGATGGCCAACAAGTCATTCCCTGCCCTCAGAAGCAAAAAGACAAATGTTTGGCATACAACCAAGCACAAAGCAAACAAGTCGAGAGGTCTTGAGGCAAGGCGCGCAACTGAAACCTCCGAGAACTCAAGACGATCACGAATATGGATGATCATCGTGTGTTCAAACGATGACGTCCGAGTCTTGAGGACAGTCAAAAATGGGGTGTCTACAATGTAACACGTATGATTAACTACAAATCTGAATCTGATTCTGTTATGAACTCTGATTTCCGAACATGATTATGAATTCATTTCTAGTAACTTCTGAATTCTGTTTCTATAATGATTATGGACAACATTCAATAAAACCTTTGCTTTGTTATTATTCATTGGGCTCCCGCTCACTGCATTATTTATGTATATAGGTGATCAGGAGTGTGGCCAAGCTCAGTGATGATCGCCTGGAACTCCATTTTTGTTGGCCACCCTTCGTATCTCCCGAGAAGGTTCTAGATTAAGTGAAGTCATGTGGCCATGTTTTGTGAATGTATAAGACTTGTTTTCTTTTGGTATATGTACTAGTTTTATGTTTATCTGTATGGGCTACGTTTTCCTCTCTGATTATATTTGTAATGAATGTGATGTGAGACCATTGTAATTATGACATCACACGTATGTATATAAAGTTTTAAAAATTCTATCCCATGTATGTCTGCACAGCTCATTGGATGTTGCCTTTTGTATATTTGTTTCCATTAGCCCCTAATATTATGTTAATCTGTCTCAGAGGCCTTCAGTAATCCTAGGATTACTGGCCGGTTATGATGCTAGACCTGTAGGGGCGAGTTTAGGTCATGACAATCAACATCTCCAGGAAACACTCTTTTTGCTTTGTTTCAGATCTGTTACAGCAGGGTAATCCCCAAAAATAGTGGCTGACTGGCCACCTTTCTATCCAGCCGACCACTTTCCAAGTCTAACTGGCCACATTTTTCTGTATAGGCAGTGACATTTTTGTGGCAGAACCGAGTAGAAATTGAGGCCAAAACAAAATAATTTTCTGATTGTGAACAGAACAGAATTTGGCAGCAAACAATGAGGTTTCTGAGGGGATGTTCTCGGTTGTGTGCTTGTAGCTCATCTCCTCCCATCCCATTAATTTAGTACTTTAATATTAATGTGTTGTAATTAACTAGTTGGCTCTATTCAAATTTGTAATAATTAGTTAGTTTTGTTAATTTTGGTGTTGTAATATTTAGTTTAATTAGAACATTTATTCAGACCCTCTTGTATAAGGGCACACTTAAAATATTGTGTATGTTTTCCAACCCCCATTCTTTCTCCCTTTTATTTACTTACCTATGATGGTTGCATGTAGTATCATATTTTGGTTTCACATCATTACCATGTGTAAATATCCATTTTTGCATGCATCGAGTTTGGTTCATCATTCTAACATTGTTGTCATTTCTTACTTACTTGAATACGTGCACTAACGCATGATTTGAGTTAAGCCATACGTCATGTTAATAAATCGAACCTAGTAGTTGCATTTTGTATATGTAGCATTAATCACTTGCATATTATAGCATGCATTTTTCTAACTATTATCTTCTATTTTGGCTTGCCTCGGTTGAGTACTAGGTGAACATTGTTGCTTTATCATATTGCATGTATGTTTGCGTTGTTATATCAAGCATATTTACCATGAGGCTAAGTAGTTATTTGATATATCTCTTCGAATGCCAGTGGATGAAGGCTGTTTTGCTTAAATTGAGATTACTTTGATTAATGGACACATGAGTTTACTTTTTCAAGTGGCACATATCCAAAACTCTTTGAAAATAAACATGAAATCAAAACATTCCAAAGTAGGTGACTTAGTCTATACTTATGTGTCTCACATAGTAAGTTAGCATTAATAATCAGAACATGAGCATATAATGTACATAAAAATCACATCATAATTAGAAGAGGCCGATCTTTGATTAGGTGAGTGGGTGGCTCAATTCATGACCTTCCCCTCTCATACCTAAGTTCCCGGGCCAAGACAC